CACTGATAACGAGGACATACAAAGGCTCAGCAATTACCGATTATTGAAATGTTGTCGAACACTATTAACGTGTGTAAATTATACAGGATCATATTATTCGTGTATAGAGCGTAGAACCATACGATTATATGAAGCAGGCGTTATAAACTGTATTCATAAACGGTTCGAAACTAGTCTCTAGTGAAACTCGAATAATAATAATAATAATAATAATAACAATAATAATAATAATAATAATAATAAAACGAATTAACGCCTGAACCGTTGCGAATAGCGTGAATTATATAGCTAGAATCGTAAGCAAGCGAATAATAGATTATGGAAGCCTAGAGTGAGAGTGTTGAAACGAAATTGTATTATACTTTTTATAATTTTCTATTAAGGGGGGGGGGGGGAAGAGTCAACGGAGGATGATGTTTCAGTCAGCCGGTATAAAGCTGTCAGCTGTTTAAAAATCGATTTAAATAAGACGATTAGTGTAACAAATTTGATAACGTAAATTGTGTTAAAACGGAAACATCTTTCATGAAGATAGCGAGCCTACGAATCGGTCTTTGTATTATTATTGATTATTATTAATTGCACTTGGTGTCCGCATCGGAAGCTCGTTATCGATTAAACTTAAGTTAATTTGTGTCAATCGTTTTAACGAAGGATCATAAATGTAAGATCTTTATACATATATATATATATATATAAATCTTTATACACACACACACACACACACACACACACGATCCATGTTTTTTTGTAAGAAAACGATATCACTTCATTTTTCCCTCTTGTCACATCTCAATCTTGATCTATTTTCAAACCGCAACAACATGTTCCCTGAATAAATGTTAAAATATGTACGTTTCGTATTTATTCACTTTCTCTCCCTAATTTCAATCTTTTTTTTCTTCTTCTTCTTCTTTTTCTTCTCTTTTACTTAATTTGGAATAAATTTGTATTTATAACAAAAGGACTAAGAAAGAAATATTCCTTTGTTTACTCTAAATGTCAGCAGATTCATCAATCATCATGAAACTCTATTTTTCAATTTCTTTTGACGATGAGTCAAAAGACAATAATTTGCTAAATGCATTTTTACGATTAACCTAAATTGTAGATGCATTTCCATGTTAGAATGATATATCGGTAGAGCATCGTGGCATTTATCATCAACATGCAGAAACGCGAGATCACGAGACGCGATAGCATTTACTGAGGCAAATGTTAGAGTAATTTAACGTAAGATTTCGTTAGCGATGTTCGCTGGAACCATTTTGTTCAAATGGCAGTTTGATAAATGACATGCGATTAGCTTTAATCGCTACATTTAATATATATATATATATATGTGTGTGTGTGTGATAACATGTGATTATGCGGATTATTCGAAAGACTGTTTTTACGTTTATCGCAAGCTCCGAAACTGCGAACAGTAAAGAGGAAATGATGCGTAGATGAAAAAGAAAAAAA